TAAATAGGTGTGAGTCACAATAAACCTTTGCGGTTTGCAGTGGAGGGTCGAATAGACCCAATCACTTTTGACCTAACCAAACCGAACCTAACATTTTATTGTGAGATTTTCACTGAACAGTTCACAAAAGTGTTTGATTCATTATTATTATTATTTTGTTAGGCAACCCATCTCAGAATTTCTTGGCACGCTCTTGTCTTATTAATGTATTCAATCGATAGTTTCTAAATGGATTCATTGAATGTAATAGAATATCTATTTTTGAAACAACATGTCGCAGATCAATCACTACGAAAACAAATTAGTTTGATTGTTTTTTATCATCAACGGAATTTCTTTCTGTCACAGCTGGAGATATCCCAATAGAGATATTTATTAGAAAGGAAAGGAACCCTATGAATGTAAGATTTTTAGATAAAAATAGCTTCTCTTCAACCAATACACAGTTTATTCGTGTTGAACTAGAAGAAAACGAATATGTTTATAGTCTGGTTCACATGTTCACCGCAGTCATGAAATTTTTATTTCAATTTTAACATTAATTATGCATTTGTTAATTAATAAAAATTTTTGAATTGACAGTTAATATAAAAACCCCTATAATTGTTAAACTGAAACCCTGGCATTTTTTTCACTTAGTGAAGTAATTCTCAATAGGCTGAAAAATAGATTATCGTTATCAAAATAAAAAAATTANTCGGGAGTCGGGACTTTTTTTACGCAAATTTATTGATCTTTTCAGATATTTTTTCAAATTTTGAAAATTTTTCGAGATATTCAAAAAAACTAAAGCCCCATTTTTTTTCACGTAATTGTTCATAACTTTTGTAATTTTTTTCAGACTATTACACTCGTACTGCATGACAGAAAAACAGCGTCGTTCAATTTTTTGCAAGGATAGAAATTTGAACTGACACAAGTGACATTCATGTGTTATCAAAATGGTAACGCAGCACTATGTCATCATGAATACAACTGTGATGAACAAATTATGTAACAACAAATAAAGAGAATTGAAAAAATGACTTCCCATAAAACAAATTGACAGATTTTAATTCAAATCACAAATGCATCTCATTAGTTATGCAACACAGAATGAGGAAATAGCATGTCCTTCTTATACTAGGTGATTGAAATGGGAGTTTCTAAAAAGGAAAGAGTGACAGAGAAGATTGAATCAAAGGGGCATATTATGGAGCCCTTTAATGAGATATTTACAAAATTTATATATAGGAAATCACAAAAATTAAATTTGATTTTTCCCTTACTTATATCTTTAGTTGAGTAGATATTCAAAAACTGTTTTCAATCTCTCATCGCAACTTTTATTGAACTGTAAAAATGTCTTAGAGAAAGTGTTTCACAGGATGTCCCATTCCTTGAAACCTCCTAACTTGGGATTTTGAAATATTTTATATCAATCTATTTGCACTGATTCGGAAACAACACACGAAAATCACGTTTACCATTCTGTTTGGAATGACTTTGATATAATTCAGTGTTCATATGAAAGAAGCTGCTTCGAAAGCACTTATTCTTTCGTGTAATTCAATATTCATATGAAAGTAGTTATTTCAGGAGCGGTTTTTCTCCCATTACTTACTTATCTGAGGAATATGAATGAATAGTATCCAAGATAATGACGAATTTTGTCCGAGGAAGCTACGGTGTTGAACAAAACGCAGCTAGAAATAAAAATGTTTGTGGAAATTGTGATTATTATCATGGATAGAATGAATTCTATACATGATCTATACTCTATACATCGTTTTTAAATGTTCATTGTGAACCTAGTGGTTTTCTTCCATCCTTCGAGAGTTCCCCACATTTTTATATAAAGATAGAGATGTAGAAAGCCTAAAACATTTCTTTCCCAAAAACAAAAGCCGACGTCTATGAGAGAAAAATCATCAAGACGATGAACGTAATCGAAATACCGCTATTTGGTTTTGTAAACCGGAATTATCATACAGGAAGATACAAAATACCGTCATTTTCACATTGAAATCGAACACTTCAGAAATGGAATATACCTAGTTTATATATATTTAAATGAATAAATAAATATTACTGGAGTTTTTTCCCAACACCAAACCGTTATTTTAACACCTCGACGCGTGTTTGAAGAGAAAGATCAAGAGGAAGATCTTTCTCTTGATCTTTCGAAAAGATGATCACTTGGTGATCGAAACACGTGTCGAGGTGTTAAAATAACGGTTTGGTGTTGGAAAAAACTCCAGTAATATTCATTACTACACCAAAGGTTCCATACAGTGCTATTATTTGTCGTTTCATCTGAATTAGCTTCTGGAATAACAAAGTCGTCATCAATACTATTTCAAAAATAAATAATCACCCCGGAAAATGTCAGTACTTGGAAATGCTCGTACCCTTATGCATGAAGGAATAATTGTAACAAAATAAATACCGGATAAATCTCCGTTTGCATCACCCTGTGAAGGGAGTCAACATTTCCAGTATCTTCTACCCTCACGAACAGCACCAACTATTCAAAATTGAATTGGGAAATCAAACATAATGCTTTTATACCTAGTCTACATCTTCAGTTCAAATAATTGACATTATTATGATTGAATAATTTTCAAATACCTAGTCACATTCTCAAAGCATTAGGTAGTAGATACTGACTTCAGTATACTGATATTTCAATATAAGTCACAAAAAGGATTTGAAGCTTTATATATGCGAGCGCATATAATTAAATAGGAGTTATATAATTAATTAATTAATTGTAATTNTAGTGGGTTTAGTAAAATAATCTAAAATAACAGAGTTATCATCTTTCCTGATTAAAAGAGTATCTAAAAAAGGTACTGTTTTGTTTTTTTCTTTTTCTATGGTAAATTGAATAGATGGATTGTAATTGTTAAAAATGGTTTTTATATCATCAATTTTGTCAAAAGGTACAGCACATATTATATCATCCACAAACTTTTTTAAAAAAGGAACCTGAAATGATAATTTTGGAATACATTCATGTAATAAATCATCCATCACATACTGGGCTAAAATAGGTGATAAAGTTGATCCCATTGGAGTACCAAGTATTTGTTTATAATATTCGTTGTCATAAACGAAAACAGTAGTATCAAAAATGAAATCTATTAATTCTAAGAAGGCTGTTTTTGTTAATTTGGTATGATTAGTAATAATATTCCAATGTCTTTCAATGCTGTGTTTTACCAGATTAATTGGTATGTTACTAAAAAGTGATATAACATCCAAACTTATAATTTCGAAATTTTTAGGTAGTTTCATTCCTTGCATGAAAATAGAAAATTCAAAAGAATCTTTAATAAAATATTGATTATTTGTATTATATGCATTGGTTGAAATTTCTGTAATGAACTTTGAGAGTTTACTATTTGGTGCATCAATAGATGATATGATAGGTCTCAAACTCATATCATATCATATCATCCATTGATGTTCCTCATGTTCCTCATTATTTATCTCAGCCATTTCTGAAAATAATCTTTTGAAAGGATTCTTTTCAGTATGTACAATTTTAGTATCATCATAATCCATATTATCGTCATACTGAACAACATGATGTGCCTACAAGTACAATCACTCTTATACGAGATAATAAGACTATTTCATGTTCTATACGTCTGACCAATATATGACTTTCCACAATTTCAACAAGGAATTTTGTAAATAATAGTCGATTCATTTTTGATATCATTCACAAAATTACAACACAGGCAATATTTATTATTACACCAATTCAGATTTGAACTATAGGAACGACTCCAAATAGCAGATGCTAAGAATTAAGATAAAATCCAATATTACCTAAATCCCAACAATCATGGCCCGAACGAAGTGCGGCTCATCCACAAAGAAATCCCGACCGCAAATTTCAAAACTGCCAAAATCGAAAGTCACGCGACTCAGAAGACCGCACAACAGCTGAGCGCGAGAGAGCGCGGAACGAGATGCGATTCGTTGCTGGCAGCAGGACGATCAGGTGGCTGCTGCCGGACCCGAACAGGATTCGAGCGCTACGGCTGACGGGATCCACACCGTGTACTGACCTAGTGCCGCAAGGATCCGATTCATCCTAGACCTCTCAGCCGCGGATCGATACCGAACCGGCGCTCGGGCAGGCAAGCCGCGCGGACAGGCTCGAAATCAAGGTCATTATCACCGTGCCGCGCTTCCTTTTCATTTCCACCCGCGACACGTGCCTAACTCAACAATCGCAGGAATAAAGGTCTACCCCGCTGACAGGAACTCTTTTCCGTACGCTATTGTGGGTTTTCTTCATTACAGTTTATATCTCTTAAGCTTGTTATCAGTCAAGTTGCAGGGTTGGCTCTAAAGGCGGCCTTTTTCAAAATCTCGAAGGGAATACTATTCTGATTGAACATACTCCTCATCAATAACAGTAACACATCGAAAATTTTAAATAGCAAAGGGGGTCGTGTGGCAGCTTGTTGGAAAGGGATTTTAGTCCTCTGTTCAGCAATATGAAGTTTTTTTAGTTTGGTGCAATCATAACTGAGAAAATTAATTTTTACAATTAAATTAAATGTTCAAAATGACCACCATTATTCACTTCTTGACAATAACCTGATCTATTAAACAGACCATCCCTGTAACACGCTCCTTACTAACCTTGAATCCTGGAAAAAGTCTTTAAAGATACTAAAATATTAGACAAAAACCCAAATAAACACTTGATATGAATCTAGTAGGCTGCGTCATTTAGGTATTTAAAGTTGCTAAAAGACGTCAGTATAATATTTGTGGGCGTATTAAATTTAATTATGGCTCATTTGTCCGAGACTCAAAGAATAGACATTTAAATTATGATTGATTGTGGTAATGAAATAAGAACTCAAAAGGAGGTTTGTGAAATTTTTAGTAATAAATACCCTGGTCAACACGTGTCGCAGTCTACAGTTAGCAAAATTGAAAAAATATTTCGTGAAACTGGACATGTAAAAAATATTGGAAAACCAGGTAGAAATGTCCAATTTACTGATGAAAAAAAGTTAGATGTACTTCTAGAGATTGAGGACAATGATGAAAGTAAATCATCTATTTTGAGAGTTTTGCATAAAGAAAAATACCACCCTAACAAAGTTCAGTTGGTTCAGAAGTTAAATGAAGATGATCCTGATAGAAGGTAAGAATTCTGTGAATTGATGATGGACAGAATGAACGCAGATTTGCAGTTCATGAACAAAATAGTGTTTTCTGATGAAGCGACGTTTCATTTAAACGGAACACTTAACAGACAGAACTGTAGATATTGGAGCAGAGAAAAGCCTCACTGCATGTGTGCGACTCACACTCAATATCTTAGAAAAGTTAACGTTTGGGCTGACATCATTAACAATAAAATTATTGACCCTTATTTTTTGTGGGCACTGTTAATGGTGAGGTTTATCTAGATTTTTTTATTAACTTTTTAGTGCCTACATTACAAATACATTTTCCTGATGTTAATCATCCAAATGAGATAGATCGAACTATTTACTACTAACAAGACGGAGCTCCACCGCATTTTGCACGTACAGTTAGAAATTATTTAAACGAGGTTTTTCCCAATAGGTGGATTGGAAGACGTGGAACGATCAAATGGCCGGCTAGATCCCCCGATTTGACTCCTCTCGATGACTTCTTATGTGGTTATTTAAAATCTGAAGTATATTTTAATAGACCAAACGATATTTCTGATTTAAAAGTTAGGATAACGGAAGCAATTAACAAAATAACCCCCGAGGTCATACAAAATGTTGTACGAGAATTCCAAAATCGCCTCGGTTATTGTCAAGAAGTTAATGGTGGTCATTTTCAATATTTAATTTAATTGTAAAGTATATTGAAAAATACATTCCAGATATCATGTGGCATTATTATCTTCATTCTACGTAAAGTTTTGTAATACCTAGAGAAATTATCAAAATTTTACATCCTAAAAATCAATTTTCTCGGACAAATGAGCCATAATTAAATTTAATACACAAATATTATACTGACGTCTTTTAGTAACTTTAAATAACTAAATCACAGCAATCTACTAGATTCATATCAATTGTTTATTTGGCTTTTTGTCTAATATTTTAGTATTTTCAAAGATTTTTCCAGGATTCAAGAATAGTAAGGAGCGTGTTACAGGGATGGTCTGTTTAATAGATCAGGTTATTGTCAAGAAGTGAATAATGGTAGTCATTTTGAACATTTAATTTTCATCAATGACGCTAATGACGGAATGACGTTAATTTATTCCATACATATGGACCGCACTGTATATATCGAAACTTGTGCTAGCTAAGGATTAACGAGGTCTTACCTTTTAACGAATGATACATCATTTGAAAGGTCTTTTGTCCCTCTAGTACTCCTGCAATTTTTTCGAAATTGGTTCATTCGTTATTGAAAAATTTAGTGTTGAATGTTTTATTTAAGAAAATTCCCTGTCGCTCATTTTATTGAGGAAATCAACGAAAGAAATCGGCATTCCCGAATAATTCTCTGTCACAGGCCTTCTAGATTTGTAGAATTTATTTAATTAGTGGTAAACATTTTGAAATGGATGACACTGTTGGTTTTTTCTGCACTGTTAGTTTTTGTTGAATCTAGTTGTCGCAGAACAAAAAGTAGATAGTTGGCCACTGTCACTTCTTCAGTCATCCTTGTTCACTGTGTTCCAACGTAGTTTATTCTACTGAAGAAAGAATAGAAATTGTTGCAACCTATTATCGAAATAATGAATGTGCTGAAGCTGCTGCCAGAATTTATAATACGAATCATCCAGACCACAACGTGAGCCATCAATACGTTAAACAGAAGACCTGCGACAGAGAATTGCTCGGGAATGCCGATTTCTGACTCCAGACATCTTAAATAATGTAAGGAACGCTTTTGAAAGTAGGATTGTATTACTGTATGGAACTAGATGGAGGTAATTTTGAACACTTTATTCGTTGATTGTGTTGCCATTGATATTACTTTTGTTGATTTCCTCAATAAAATGAGCGACAGCAAATTTTCTGTTTTTTCTTAGATGAATCGTTCAACATTTAATTTCTCAATAACAAACTAACCAATTTCGAAAAAAAATACAGAAGTAATAGAGGGACAAAAGACCTATCAAATGATGTATAACTCAACCTCCCCTGCCATTGAAAAAAAGAGGGGGGGTAGTTGGTGATCGCAGGGGGTGAAGTTTCGGGTATGATTTCCATATCAGAATTAGTCCCCCTAGAAATAAAAATTGACGTATTCTTTGAAATTTTCGATTACACGTCCGTTTATGAATTACAGGGGGGGTCAAGTTTACGTTGGAACGCCCTATATAATCTTCATGACCCAGGCAATGTTACCACCTGTCCCATCACTCCCTTTAAACATATTCACAGAGGGGGCCTACCTCGCAATCATGGGTAAATATCCTTGTCTGTACCTCAGTTCTCATTTCACGTTAATCATTATGACCGACACTATAGGATGTTCCAATCTACAAGTTAACATTGACAAAAAGGTTTTCTTCGTGTTCAGATTGTCTCGCAAACAGTATAAAACGAAAAATGAAATATTACAAAACATTCATCTAATACAAAGCTGAATATATGATGGGAAAAATGGAAATTAAATAAATTGCAACCATAATATTTGGTAACATATTCCTCAAAAGCTAATTTTTACAAAAAGTTTGAATAATCTTGTTTATTTTGTGGAAATTCATGTTCACTGAGGATACACTACAAAAACACACTTTTGTCTATTTTCCACGATATTTCTTTATTGTTGACTAGTTTCGGTTATTACACCATTTTCAAAACGTTTTGTAGTATCACACCAATATGGCCACCAATCTGCTAAAAATTGGAATTCCAAAAAATTCCACTCTGATTTTCATTAGTTCGGACTTCCATTGTCGATATGATATAAAAATAACTTGTAATATCTGAAATAATCAATAAAATTGAAAAGAATAGCTGAAAATAACAATTATATTAAACAAAAATACCCTGAGTTGAAATTACAATAAAAAAATACAAGCAACAATTGAAAATTGAACAATCAAAAAGTCATAACCCGAAGACAATTGTGGATACTAACAATCGAAACGTCGTGAAGTAACTTGGCTTGAAATCTTTTGATTTTTATTTCCTTTTAATTGTTCAATTTTCAATTTCTTGCTTAATTTTTATTTTGTTGTAATTTCAGTTCAGCATTTTTTTGCTTAATGTAATTGTCATTTTGAGTAATTTTTTAAAAATTTCATTGATTATTTCAGGGATTTCAAATCACTTTATATCATATTAGACAATGGAATCCCGAACTAATAAAATTCACTATTAAACATACACTTCACTTCAAACAAATTCCACTCTATTTTTATAATGAGCCACTACAAGTTCTACGGGTTTCTATCATTACATAAGACATTTGGATAATTTAGCTGTTCAACAGATACAGAATGTGTTACCCTATCAACACATAGTGATAAAACGAGAATATAATTATTCAATAGTAGGACAGATTTGTGTCAATGACCGCTTAGTAATCTAATTCTGCTAAGACACTGTTCTTCTAAGTGAAAGGACTTTACTTTTACAGTGTTTCCTAATAACATTGTAATCTTCAAAATTTTTCAGGACAAAACTCCATATGAACATACAGGGTGGCCTATCAAAGCAAGGAATTCCAACAGCACCATTGTTTGCCAAAATACGAACAAAAGTTTTGATTGAAAGTTATACTATTGGCCAAGACTCATTTCCTGACAATATTTTTATAAAGGGTGTTTAAAAAAAAGTAAATGTTACCAAATTATTTTTTAAACGGTGACGATAAGTTTGTTAAGCTAAAATGTAAATCACGGTGTTAACATGTTTTTTTATTTATTATAATATTCGGAAAGGGTGCTATTCACATAAATACTTTATTGATACATAATCAAGTTTTTATAAACAACAATGACAACAGAATAATTCTCTGAAGAAAAATCCACTACATCTTCTACCCATTCCGTGACAAAAAGTCGTAATTATGAACGAATTGAGTGTTTTCTCTTACAATGTTATCCGTATTTGCTACTGAAGAGCCGATAAGGTAAGTGTCTTACGGAGAAACATCGATGTCTACCAGTGAGGATGACAGTGTTCTATGTCAGTGAATTTTTACTTTTTTCATTAATATTGTGTGGTTCATTTCAATGAAGAAATCAACAACAAATAATATCAGTGGAAACAAGATCAACGGATAAATTGTTCAAATTGACCTCCACCTACTCCCATACAATAATAGAGTCTACTCTCAAAAGCATTCCGTACATTATTATGTCCGGAGTCATAAATCGGCATTCTTGAACAATTTTCTGTCGCAGGTTTTCTAGATTTGTAGCCTCATTAGAGTACACTTTCGACTTCAGGTGTTCCCACAGAAAGATCAGGTGATCTAGCTGGCCACTCCACTGGACCCTTTCTGCCGATCCAAGGCATAGGAAAACATTCGCTCAAAAACTGTCTCACCCGAACATCAAAATGTGGAGGTGCACCATCCTGCTGGGATGTTATTTCATTTTCAACTGAATTGTCATCATTTTCTAAAATTTGTGTAATCATAGGATCTACACAGTTTTGTAATAGATTTAAGTATGTGTCTCCATTGAGATTACTTTCAATAAATAATGGTCAAACAATATGATTACCAAGAATGCTGGCCCAGATATTCAACTTTTGTTGTGTTTGTAAATGTATTTGTTTCCATCACGAAATGAGGATTCAAATTGCTCCAGTAACGACAATGTATGTTATTTTGCAGTGTGCAAGGCTTATTAAATTGAGACCTGTCTTGCAGACAGCAAGAGCGCACTAGGGGCTCTGACAAACCCGAAGGTGACATCAAAACTGGTCTGGGAATGTCATGAAAAACTGAATGAACTTGCAAACAGGAACAAATTAACTTTATATAGAGTGCCAGGGCATTCAGGAATCACAGGTAATGATAAAACTGATGAATGCGCTAGACACGGATCATCAACTTCATATATAGGTCCTGAATCAGCTCTGGGGGTACCAAAATTATTGGTACGAAACCAGATTAGGACATGGACCAATAAGAAGCACACATAGTACTGGACAAAAGTACCTGGCAACAAACACAGTAGAACCTTGAATAGGGAACCGTTCTAGAAAATAACCGAAGAACTACTTCAATATAATAGGGATCGGCTCAGAATAATTACAGGGTTACTAACCTGTCATTGTCTGCTTAGAGGACACCTGAATAAAATGGGGCTGTACAACGGAGACATCAGCTGCAGATTAGGAAAGAAGGGATAGAAACAGCTCTACACATCTTATGCGAATGTGAGGCACTGAATCACAGGAGGCAGGCAATATGGACGTACGAAACTAAGTCCAGAAGAATATGACGAACATCCAACACGGAACCTGTAAAAACTAGTACAGGGAACGAGACTGATGGAATGGGTGTCATGAGAAGATGGGAGAATAAACGCAATAAGCCCAAGAGGCTGCAGTGTTTTCTGGAGACTTGGACTAAATGGGCAAGTCAGACAGCTCCCAAGGTACCAACAAAAAAGACAATGTATTGTATAATGAGTTTGGGTTATTGGTCAATTTCTCGCTGAACATCTCACAAAACTGAAGTTTATTTCCTGAACTAGCCTTATTTTGAAAGGATGGAATTTGTAGGTTGTCAAAATTTGAAAAACACTAGTAGCTGATACACCAGACGCTATAGCTACTTGCCTGATAGATTGACGATTAATTTGTACATGTTCTAAAACTGCAACTTCAACTCCGTCAATTCTGCCAGGACGGAATACTTCATGTTTTCTGTTGTGAACAGAACCTGAAGTTCGAAACTTATCCATTAACTGTTTGACATATTGATGACTCACGTTGTGGTCTGGACGATTCGTATTATAAATTCTTGCAGCACCTTTAGCACATTTATTATTTCATTGTTGCAACAATTTCTATTCTTTCTTCAGTAGAATAAACAATGTTGGAACACAGTGAATAAGGATGACTGAATAATAATTCGTGAAGAAGTGACAGTGGCCAACTATCAACTTTTTGTTCTGCGACAACTAGATTCAACAAAAACTATCAGTGCAGAAAAAACTAACATATATTTTGAAACGTATTTTATCAATTGAATAAAATCTACAAATGTAGAAGACCTGCGACAGAGAATTGTTCGGGAATCCCGATTCCTGAATCCAAATATCTTCAATAATGTAAGGAACGCTTTCGAAAGTAGACTATTATTGTATGGAACTAGGTGGAGGTAATTTGGAACACTTTATTCGTTGATTGTGTTGCCATTGATATTACTTTTGTTGATTTCCTCAATAAAATAAGCGACAGCTAATTGTATGATTTTTCTTAATTAAAGCGTTTAACATTTAATTTCCCAATAATGAATTAACCAATTTCTGAAAAAATTACAGAAGCATTAGAGGGACAAAACACCTTTCAAATGATGCATCACTCATTTTAATTTATCAATTTTACAATGAATTGTAACAATAATTGTTTTTTCATTAAATGCGAATGAATGTATTTTATTTTTTATGCGATTACTGTACGTCAAACAAAAATCCTGCACGGGCGCCACTGACAAGTACAATTTTTTTTGCTGTTTACGGAAAATTGATTTCTGAAAATGAACGTGAAATAAACAAAATAAATATAAGCATGTAAGTGAGAAGCATCCTGTATACTGTTACAATATAACTTACCTATTCGACAGATCAAGGCCACGTTTCTGTGAACGAACACACCTATGTATAACAATCAGCAATTCAGTAGTCTTTTCTAACTTTAATATATATATATATATATGTGAAG